TGAAAACACCAGTAGCTTAAAAGAAAGGGAACAATTGAAAGGAATGTCGTTAAACATAAAAATGTTAAAAATAAAAAAATAAAAAATGCAGTCCTAACAGCACAACAAATATAATATAGAAGTATAAGCATTTTCTCCTTAAAATTTTCTTTAAGCCACCGCATAAAAAATTGACAATTTTCCTTGAAAAAATCCATTAAGAATTGTAGTACTCCATTAATTTGTTGTGGAATTCTTTCATCAATAATTTGGAATACTTCATATTCTTCCATTTCAAAAGTTTCCCTGTTGATAATTTTCTTCTCATAAGAGTGTTTTCTGCTTTTACATATAACATCATTTAAAGAATTTGATGAATGGATACGCAAATCTTGTAAACCAAAGCATGGTCCTTTGTTTTTGCACCAAATGATCGCTTCCTCCCTAGAAGAGACACGACTTAATATCGGAGCTGTTCGATTTGTTACTGAAAATATAAAACTATCCGATGTTTTGTACTGATGATCAGAATTATTGGATAGTAGAGAACTCCTTTCATCATCTGATTTAACACCGCACCATTTTAATGGATTATACCCACCAACTATCTGTCCCGAATGGCGAGCTTTAATGACAACAAGTGTTGGACCCTTGTTATCACAATGATTATGAAAATTTTGAATCTTAAAGCCATCACGGCTAGCACGGTAAATAAGCTTAAATCTGAAGGGTATGTTTGTAAAATGGTAAGGCGTCTTTCGCTTGTCCATCCAACTTGCTATTATTCCTGCATCTTTGGCATTAATAATATTTGATTCAAATGGATGTTTTCTTAATGGCAAAATATCGATCGAGGGCTTAAAATTAGAATCGGAAAAATATAGGGTAATTTCATCATCAAGACCATCTGGTAGAATATCCTTAAAATTATCTCTAACTTTTGTATAGTCACCAGATGACATTTGAAAAAATCGAACGTAACGAATACAATTACGTAGAGAAATTTTTAGGCTCGTGAAACTCTTCGGTGTCCATTTCTTTATATCATCATCCAAAATAGAGGAGTTTTTGATCCCCCATTGAATTAGATATTCCCAGATTTCAATTTCATCTAATTCAAGGTCATCACGTTTCAATAGATTAATAAGGTGAGTTTCTTTCATTCTAAAGAACTCTTCTGACTTAAAAATTTCTTCTGAATTTTTGCATGCTAATTTTACTGCGACGCTATACAAGGTAGTGAGGTGATCGTGTTGAAGAACTGTGATAATGTCCCTTTGTTTCCAAGTCGATTCATCCTCAATTAATGATTCTTCAAATTGTTGATAGACTTCATGTAATTGAAGCTCGTCACTTGCAATAGCAATATCGACGAGACTAACTTCATTGTTCTCAACGGAAATTACTCCTGTATAAATGTATCTAATTAGATTTATATTTTATAGAGTTAAATTAGTCTATACCATTGCAATTCCAAAAAATGTAATAAAAATTACTTACTTTAGAAGTAATTTAAATACCGATGGTGAAATATTAGGTTTGTTGAAAATTATAATTCCATTTTCTAACAATCGTGAATACAATGTACTTTTAAAATAAGCCGATCTACTAGTTAAGATTAACGAATGCGCTTTAAATTCTTCGACGTTCGGTTCTTCTCCAACTATAATTTTTACGTTATAATCTTCTGGATTTTCATATAATTTTGCAAAATCTATAGATACCGAATTATTCATATTTCAAGGGAAAAATGATATTTTGCATAAATTGGTTGGATTTTATGATTTCAACCAATAAAATTCTATGACATAACTTAAGTTCACTTGTGCAACTTTAATCACGTGATAGTCACAGGTTTTTTATAATTACATAATTCGTGACCAAACATTGTGTGAAATCCTAAAGTCGCGTTTGGTCGATGTTCACAAACCTGAAACCTGATGTTGTAAATAAAAAAAAATTATAATTTAGATACGACAGTGATTCCATTTTTAGGGATGCCAAATTTTCTTTGCCTTATCAAATCTAAAAAAAAAAAAAAAAGATTATTATTGCGCACCATTACTCCATAATACAATAATTGCTTAAATGAAAATTGGTTTGATTAACTTATAACTCAAAAATATCCTTGCGTTTGTTATAGTAGTTTTTGATACGTATTTCTTAATTGGCATAGGTTTTTCTTTCTACCTTCTTAATTCTTTACTCCACCGCTTCTCTCAAATTTGAAGATATAAGGAACATATAGATAAGTAATTCACTTGTAACGTACCAAAAATTATAGCAATTTTTTTTTTCACTTTATATTTAGGCTGGTCCTATCGTCTTTATTTTCATGCTGTATTTTTATTTATTTCACATATCGTGAGATCATTAAGAAACTTTGTATGAACAAAGTTAAAATTAGATATGCAATCTTTAATATATATATATATTGCTTTCAATAAAAAAAAAACTGTAAAGCTCTAATTAAATAAGTAAATAAAATCATATTAGGATAATCCATATAATTTCATAAGAATATTTGAGGGCATTATTAGAAAAAATTCTGTTTGATTTTTCTCGATGTGTATTCTTTGTTCGCGTTTAGTTTAAGTCGTGAGTCAATGTTCGCGTCAAGCTCAATAGTCAAGGCTTGAATAAAAACACTTTAGTCAGTACTAACATCACACGTTACGGTAATTTAATTTCAAAATTCATTTTTATTAATCACTTTTCAAGGATTCCTTCTCTGGTAATTGATCATAATCTCCCATCAGGCATCTATAAAGTCACATGGATCACATTTATCAAACATTTTTCGAAAAACCGAGATTAAATCTTTAACTATAGAACTGATTGTTTTTAGAACTCTAAACAGTTGGGTGAAAATGAGATTAAGGATCATGTCGGATATTCGAGAAAAAATAGATGAAATTAAAGAAATATTGATATTGTGAAAAGTCATGAAATAGAAATAATAGCATTTATTTATTATAGTGTCTATAGCATTGATTAATTCTATTTATTTTATCTAGTCTGCAGCCTTTATTAATATACTGCGTTTGTCTATTCTATAACAATTATTATTTCTAAATATATATATTCTATAAATTTATACTATATGACATTTCCTCTTACCTAATTAAAAACATAGACATAGGAAATAATAATTCTACCTAATAAACAGAAGGATGTTTAAATGTTTCAATAGAATTGACGATTCAAATCGTTTGCCAGGAAACTATAGATCATAAGGTTAGGGTTTGCTATGACTAAATTATTTTTGAGAAATTTGCTAGTTTTTATAAAACATCGAATCAAAAAAATCACTTCTAGTCTTACCTTAAACAAAACCCTATAACATAGCCATTATTTTTGACATTGAATGCATTGATAACTAAAACCAAAAAAAGGAAGTTTCTTTAATAATAATTGCGCCAATCAGATGGTTGTCATTATAAATTATTCATTGATTTTACAATACAATTACAGTACAATTATTATACGGTAAGAACAACTCTAGAGATTTAATATTTTTATCAAACTATTGTAAAACCGACTAATATTTATTTTAAAAATATCATTCATAGTTATTTTTAATATGTTTCTAATACAATTATAAATTTAAAAAAATTACTGGAAATATTTAATGCTTTTTTGTGGTGTAGCTAAAAGATCGTTATAAAAACTAATGCTTATTTTAAATAATGTTTTTATATTCTAAAAAAATAATAGCAAGTATCATAGTTTAAATGATATTGATTAGTAACAGAATCGCAAACCAATAAATATCAATAATAAAAAAGGATAAAAGCAATATAATATGTGACAAATGTTAAATAGCTAATGCCTATTTAGAATGATAAAATTATAGCTAAAGTAAATATTTGATTGTTAGTATAATTGCTTAAAGCTTGTAATAAGTTGAGTATTATTGTAAATGTTAAGTTATTATTATTATTTAATATTGCAGTCTTGACACTAATTGTTTTTTTTATTTAATATTAGATAATATTTATATTATAATTATGAAAGAATATTGTTTCCTGGTTTTGTATAAAATCTTAATTATGTAGTTGAAAATATTTTTATTTTTTTAAAGAGTTTTAAAAAGGAATTTGAATTTGTAAAAGACTATGTTTAAAAGTATATTGTTTGGTAATTTCTAAATAAATATAAATCAAATAGTTTGATGTTTTTAGAATTACAATAAGATTTATTATCAAATTCTTAAGTTTAAATTTTTTTGTTAATAAAAGATTTGTTGAAGATATAAGAAATATATAAATTTTTTTTAAAAAATAATATCATATTTGAAACAAAAAAAAATTTTTTTTTGCGAGGCACATCTCAAATTGTAATCTTTATTAATTGTTGATTCAATTTTTACAAAGTTAACTAAGTATAAAATTTACAACAATAGGAATACATTGAGATATGTTGCTATAAATATTAATCTATGCTATTTAAATAGATATACATATTTTACAAAACACTAGTTGAAAAAAGTAAAAGGAACTATCTATCTATAAATGAAGGGATAATCCATTCCATATTAAAGGATATAAAAGAGAAAAAAATTCAAATTTATTAAAGAAATTGTTATTATAATAATCCTTCACTACTAAGTGTAACTGGTAAATTATTAGTGATAATAATTTTTGTAAATATTGGTATTGGCTCTACCCTAAGCCTGCTGCTTTCCTAAATAAGTTGCAAACTTAAGTTACTTACTCCAGTCAAGTATTAACTGCTTTGTAAGCAAGGCAACATGGGACACAACTCCATTATTATAGTATTTGTTATAATGCTGTTATAGTTAAGATAAATGATTAGTATATGTAATTTAGTGATCAGATTTAAGATTTTTTTTGATTAGTAGTAGTCTTTCAATTGTAAAGAGTATTAATTTCAAGTTTGTATTTGGATATGAGACAGAGTTATATAATATTTTCTGATTTGGGTTTGATTTGGTAATACTACCGAAACCTGTGTAGAGCACTGATCTTGTACTTTTTCAATCTGGTAGTTTATTGTGTTGTTTTGATTTAATAAGATAAAACGAAGTGTAATTGGTTGTTTGTGAAATGTAGATCTTTAGGTGGGTAAACTAATTTCAGTTTTTTGTGAATATGAAAGTAATATTGATAAGGACTGAGAACTAGTCAGAAAATTATGATACATCTGGTACTAGTTGTCATTAGCAGAAAACAAAAACTTTAAAAAAATAAAATACTACCTCTTGTAAATAAGATTGTATTTAATTTTATATATGGTTTTGGAGTATATTAAGTATTGAAATATTTGAATAAGTAAAAAGATTTTCCTTTGTTTGAAGATTGCTTATATAGGCTTTACTTAAGGATCCTAACAATTCTATTCGATTCTGTATTCGATTCTCAAGTTTATATTAAATTTAATAGGTGGGGTATACCCCACTATCATTTTTAATAGTGTTCCGAACCTCATGCGATTCTGTTCGATTCTATTCGATTCCAATTTTCAGAACCATAGCTTTACTTAGTAAAGCAAAGGATTTAGTCAAAGAGATTTCTGTCTATCCCTAAATATACACCTTTCTATAGAGAGTTAATCAACCCCATATACCCTGTAGTAAGCTAAGATAAACCCCTATTCTAGAAAGAGATTCTTGCTAACTGTTTATTGTCTATTGTTCATGTTATTATCAAAAAAGAAAATTTTTTACAAATTGAAGCATTGTAGGAAAGAGTTTTTTTTTTATTTGAAACAAAAAAATTTTTTTTGAATGGGTGGCTTACACCTTGTTTATTAGATATTTTACAATGAATATATACAAATTTATTTTATACAAATTTATCACTCTATCTACCTAACTAAACTCACTAAGGGGTTTTCCTACTATGCAGCTTATTGCCAAGTACTGATATATACTTGACTAATTTGCCAAGGCTCTACCTGTCCCATAAAAATTTTGTTTTAAAAGAATATATTGTGTTCCAGTTAATCCAGTGAAAACTGGAGTATTTTATAATTTCATTGATTTTAGGGATAGAGGATTTGTGTGTGCTTTTTTGTGTTGATTGGTTTCCATCGTCTTTTGTTTTTTGCTGTAATATTGTGTTCTTGTTCCCATTGTGCAAAGTTGTTGCATCTGTATTTCTATTTGTCTTGTATTGTAGTGAGAAATCTGTTAATGATGTTGTTTATAGTTTCTTTTTGGTTTTCTGCTGATGTATACTTTTTGATAGTTTTTATCATATCCCTTATGAGAGCTCCTCTTGCTATATAGTTTTTTACTTTCTGTGTCCAGTATTTTGCTTGTTCGCTGATTTCTTTATTTAGGTTGTGTTTTATGATTTTGTTGTCTCTGCTACTAACTTCCTCATTGATTATTTGTTGAAGTTTTTTGTAGATGTCTGTTCTGTTTCCCTCGCATATTATGCAATGTGTATTGGTTTTTACCTGTTGGCAATTGAGACATTAGTTATTTGTATATGTGTCTGCTGCTCTTTTGTGCAATTTGTCCTTGGTTGGTAGTTCTAGGTTCCATAGTCTGACTATGAAGGATCTGTCGGTGTGGTCTTCTTGGTTGGTGGACCCTGTTGTGAGTTTTGATGGTACTCTGTTGATTAGTGACTCTTCCCATACGATGTTATTAAGTATAGAATTGTTGTCAGTCGTTATGAGGTTGTGATCCAGGCTTCTCCAATTGAGGATGTATTTTGTTCTGATGAGGTTTTTGATTGATATTGTGATTGTATTTTCTATTGTG